ACTGACGTTTCTCAGTCCTGTTTCTGGATCCGTGCTGTCCTACAAATAACCAATTTGCCAATAAAACCACAATTGCACATTTTGAATTCATAGTACTTGAAGTGCTTTGAGAGGGTGTGTAGTTAGATGAGGAGGAATTGTACAAATGCAAACTTTTGATGTTTCACTTGACAGCTTTTTGCGTCTCTCCCTTTACCTCATGATGTCACCAGGGTCAAAAACAGACACAGGGCACACAACAGGATCACAGCCAAGTGATTATGTGCAGAGGCTAACCATTGGAGAGGGAGAAATGTTGGATGTACTGTCACACTAGCCCCTAATCCTTCTAGTATGCAATGACACTGCACATAATCACTGGCCTGCACATCACCACAGGATAGTGAACAGAAAACAGGAGCCTTGGTCCATGTCTCCCCGCTGTACTCTGTTGGGATGGGAGGTCATCAAATGCTACCCTAGCTGTCGCTCCAGCTCAGGCCCCTTCACACAAACCAAACATATGTCCTTGAATAGTTCTCAACAAGACACCAATTGGCTTATAATCTACACAGAAACATGGACAGCCACGCAGCACATAATTTTACCTAATTATGTAACCCCTGATTTGCTAACTCCTACTTTAAAAAACACAGGAGTTTTATAAACTAACCACTAGATCACTAAAACCAAACCCATTGATGCCATTCAGATCAAGGATTCTTCTGCCGCCACATGGACTGGCTGACAATCAATCTGACTCAAAACATTTTCTGACCAAACAAATGATAAACACTTTGCCAGCATCATCCACAGCCCAAATATAATCAAAATAAAAATCTACTACAAGAAGTAGTTTCAAAAAAAAATTGCGAGTCTCAAAAATAAATGCAAAAAACTTAGCACATTTTTTTCCGAAGTAGCAAGTATAGCTTCTAGTGCATATGATTGCCCAGAACAGCAAATACTAATGCATGTGATTTATGGAAATACACAACACTGGTGAGGTACTGCAATACCTGTGATTCATAATTGAAAACATTCAAAATTAGCTCTAGCATTTAAATGCATAAAGAGAAAACTGCTGTTGGTGTTGAGACACCCAGAATTGCAGTCATATAAATCTAGTTAGAATTAAAAGAAACAAGCAAATACATACACAATTGAGAGTCCTGGAGGTACAAGTATTAAAATCAGAATATATTCACAGCAGAAGAATACACCCACAGTTTAATTCTTTTACATTAATTATAAAATGAAATAAAGGGCACAAGGGAACTATTATAAAGAATTTAAGTGGTTCAAAATAATAAAGAATTTCTTATCATTTAGTAAAACTAACAACACGTTTCCTACAAGACCCAGAATTACAAACTACACTTTCTTTACTAACCAGTCACAAAGACATAGCACTTAGGAGCAAGAGTAACATCTGCTCCACCACTCAGTGGCTGAGCTGGCTGTGCTCACTACATCACTTCTGTCTATTTTGATTAGGAACCCAAAGAAAAGTTAACTTTGTTTCTCACTCTATAGGTGCTGCCAGACCTGCTGAGTTTCTCCAGCATTTTCTCGTTTCATGTCAGCCAACTAGTTGAGGCTGGTTCCTCTCTAGAATGGAATTTACAAGCAGTCACCCAACTCTAAAACTTCCATAGAATGGAAATTACCTTCAGAAGCAAGATGCTGAAGCCTTATAAAAGGACTATGTGGAGTACATCTACTTGGCAGAATAATATTGCATCACCACAGCGCCAGAATAACATCAGTGCCACAGGTAATAATAGAGCTGTAACAGCTCCACCTTTGTAGCATAATATCCTGAACACAACTCTGTTCCATTTTAGCAGAAACATTATGTTCCACAACAGCAGCAGTATATATTCTGCCGCAACAGTTCTACCTCAGCTGTGGATAATACACCCCTGCAGGAAAAGATACCATGCTGTAACACCAGTCTAACACATGAGTACATCACACCACAAGCAGTGGATAATACTGCTCTTCAACTCGACTGCTTCGTTAGTGGAGAAACACGACTCCTTTAAGTGTCCACCTCATCAGCAAAACAATACCACTCCATAAAGTGTCCAAGCAGCAGCAGAATAGCACTGATGTCCAGATGTCCACCTTTGCAGCATAATGCTGTCCCTACATCCACCTGAGCAGTAGAATAACACTGTTCCTTAATGCATCCATCGCAGCAGTAGAATAGATATTTGTTAATTCGTTCATGGGACATGGGCATCGTTGGCTGGATCAGCACTTATTGTCCATCCCGAACTACTCCTTGACTGGGTGGTGGTGAGCTGCCTTCTTGAACCACTGCTTCTTAATATGTCCATCTGAGCAGAATAAAATCACTCAATATGTTCACTTCAGCAGAATTATAGAGGCCTTTTATCTGTGCAGGTCTGCAGAATATTATTCCTTAGCTCCTCCACCTGAACAGCAAATTCTACTCCATAACACGTCCACCTGGGCAGCAGATCTGTACCACATGTTAACGTGTCGCAACTCAGTGATATAATAAGGGGCGCCAATTTAAGGCTTTAGACTGTGATGAGGAGGAATTTCTTCTGAGGGTTGCGAGTCTTTGGAACTCCTTGCCACAGAGAGCTGTGGGGAAGAGTCCTTGTGTATATTTATGGCTAAGAGAGATAGATTCTTGATAATGGAATCAAGTGTTATGGGGAAAGGGTAGGGAAGTGAGGAGTGTTGAAACAGGTTTGAGGGGCTGGATGGCATACTCCTGTTTCTTTTTCTTATGGTATTATGATAATGTTCCTTAATTCATCCTCCTTAGCAACAGAATAATACCACTCTTGAACCTGTCCACATCAGCAGCACAATTGCTCAACATCTTCAGCTTAGCAGCAAAACAATGCATCAGGGCTTTGGCTAGTTACCCAATAGGACCATTAGTGATCAGCAACTCTTGAGTTTTTTTTGGGGGGTTGTGAAGAAGCATCCTACCAGTGTGCAAAATGAAAAACACAACTCATAGCAGCCACAATCACCCAATGGTTTGCTTTGCAAAATGTCTTCATGAAGAAATTAACCAATCCCCAAGAAGAAGCCATCTTTTTTCACCTTTTGAGACGATGATGATGAGCTACCTTCTTGAGCTGCTGCAGTACGTGCTTCAGGTGGACTCACAATGCCATTAGGGAAGGAATTCCAGAATTTTGACTCTGTGACACTGAAGCAATGCCAATATATTTCCAAGTCAAGGCAGTGAGAGGCTTGGAGGGAAACTTGCAAGAGTTGGTATTCCCACGCATCTGCTGCCTTTATCATTTTAGATGCAAGTGGTCATGCATTTGGAAGGTGCTGTCTAAAGATCTTTGGTGAAGTTCTGCAGTGCATCTTGCAGATGGTACACAGTGCTTCTACTCAGCATCAGCAGTGCAAGGATTGAAGGTGGATATGGTACACAATGCCACTACTGAACATCAGTGGTGGAGGAAGTGGATGTGGCGCGAATCAAGCAGGTTGCTTTGTCCTGGATGATATTGAGCTTGACTGTTGTTGGGGCTACATCCATCCAGGCAAGTGGGGAGTATTCCATTACACTCCTGACTTGTGCCTTGTAGATGGTGAACAGGCTTTGGGGAGTCAGGAGATGAGTTAGCTGCTGCAATATTCCTCACCTCTGACCTTGCCAACTCTGATTAGTGCAACAGAAGGCAGTGACAAAAAGAAGGCTTGAATATGTTATAAGCAAACACAGATTGCTGGAGAAACACAATAGGTCTGGAAGTAGGGGCGGCATGGTGGCTCAGTGGTTAGCACTGCTGCCTCACAACGCCAGGGAACTGGGTTTGATTCCACCCTCGGGCGAGTGTGTGCATGGAGTGTGCGTATGGAGTGTGCACATTCTCCCCACGTCTGCGTGGGTTTCCTCCCACAGTCGAAAGATGTGCAGATTAGGGTCGATTGGCCATGGGACATGCAGACTAGAGAAATGCAGAGTTACAGGGATTGGGCGGGGGGAGGTCTGGGTGGGATGCTGTTTGGGGGCGGTCGTTGTGAACTTGATGGGCTGAATAGCCTACTTTCACACTGTACGGGATTCTAAGAGTATCTGTGAAAAGTGACCCAGTGTTTTCGCTCTCCAGCAATTTCTGTTTTTCTTTCGTTTCAGATCTCCAGCATCCGCAATCCTGTTATATTTTACTCGAGTATGTTATGTTTACAGTGAGAAAAAGAAATTATACTCCCGAAGCGCCATGTGGACGGACACGTGAAAGATAAAGCATTTACAAAAAAAAATACCGGCTCCAAAACACGAGGCCTAACCACGACGCGGCCGGCTCCAACGCTGCCATTTCCTTACCCCTGCCCACCCCCACCTCACGAATACACACAATGTGTCCCCCTCCCACCAAAATATCTCACAATGTGCCCTAGCTCCCACCCGGCACCTACTGACCCTCCCGGGGACCACCCCTTCAAGATCACACAATGTACCTGTACGCCCCCCCCCTCCCGGCACCTATTGACCCTCACTACCGGGAATCCCCCCACAATATCAATGTACCCCCCCTCTCGGCATCTATTGACCCTCATTACCAGGGATCTCCTCCCCCCACAAATATCAATGTAGCCCACACCCCCCAAAAGAAAAATCAATGTACCCCGCACCTCTTGACCCTGACTCCCGGGGAACACCCCCCCCTCCCCCCTTCTGTTTCGCTCGCGCCGGGCGACCCCGCGTCCTAGTGACGGTTGGCCTCGCGGGCGGGCGGGCTGACGGCTCCTGAAGGATGAAGCCTCCGTCTCCTCAGGTAAGGCCACCGGTTTGAAACGCGCCTCCTCACCTCCAGTCAACCGGCTTTCACACCGAAGCGGCGACCTCCATCGCGTGCGAGGTGGGGTGTTCGGCGGCGCGGTGACCGACTAACTGACTTGTGTGTCAGTGTGAATGAGAGAGACACACACACACACACACACACACACAGTGACCGGCTAGGCCCCGGCTTTTTCCCTCCTCCTCTTCCCGCCCTCAAGTTCCTTACCTACACTCCGCATCGTCGAGGTGGAGCCTCCATTCTGCTCCCGTTTCCTGTTCGTTTATTTCCCCCACCCTCAAACGTACAGATTCAAATGTTCGGACATAAGCTTAAATAAAAAGACTTTCTCCCTCCCAAATCTCTCGGGTACACACCACCTTCTCCTATTGTGTTCTGCCTTCAAATGACAACAACCTCCCCTCCCCCCACTTTCCTTCCTTCTACCCTCCCCGCCTCCGCCGCTCGCTCCTCCCCGCCCCCACCCTCCATAACCGCCGGATGGCGAACCGGAAATTGCATCATGTACCCGTCCGCGTTGAAACTCTTGAAAGGGGTGCAGCGGCCATCTTTGATCAAGGCAAGGCTGGTCCATACATTGCATCGGTGTCGGGCAAGGGAAGACGCGAAGCGGTATTCACCAATCTCTCTCTCCTCCGCCCCCCAAAAAAGACAGAAGTTAAGACTAACCTTATAACCGAGTTAGAAGTGTCCAGACTTTAATTTACTGAGCCGAAGATGGCTATTGGGGCCCTGTCTCTACTTTATCTTGCCGCCGACCCCCTCCCGTAACCGTCCAAACTATTTCCGGGGTGGGAGGGGAAGGCGGGGGGGCAACTATCCAATGCCCTCTGCAATACCACGCTCGAACCTGCCTCGACCACGCTTAAAAGGAAGCGTATTCCAGGCCACACATTCACTTGGGAAATTTCTTCCTCGCCTTGCTTTTGCGAAAGCAAGTACACTAATCCTCAGTCTGTTGCAAATAGGGAACAGGTTTTCCCTATCCAGACCTCATGATTTTCAGAACTATCAAATGTCCTCCGAACTGTCTTTTTCAAGGGAAAAAAAGTTCAATTTTACCTCGAATAGTATTTCGTACTTCCTCGTATGCACCATTATAAACCTTTTCCAATGCATTCACATCGTTCCTATCATCTGATGCCCACGGCTGTATGCAGTACTCCAATTGAGGTCTAGGCAACAATTAAGCTAGTTCATAACCTCCCGCCATATGCTCTGTCCCTACTTAATTATGCACTATTCTAGTCTTCATAATAGCTCTCCTCTCCTTCACGTCTTGCTACTTTTAGCAATTTATGTATATGTATACTTAAGTCTCTGTTCATTTGCTCTAATACCCTTTTTGTACTCGTGTACTTTAAGCATCATCTCACTTCTGTATTGAGGATCATGTGCCACCCATTCATCTGGGGTGTCAACATCCTATTGAAGATCTTTAGAGCTTTGTTGCCCCTTGCATAAACAGTTTATAATTAGAAAAATAACAATCCTAGTACTGACTCCATTACAAGCCTTCCTGCTGCCTAAAGACATTAACAGTAATCAGGTAATAGTTACTGATACAAGAGCAGTGAGGGATAGTAAAGAGTTATTTATTGAATCACAAGATCAGTAAATTAAATAGTTCTAATTTATGTAACTTTATAAACTGCATCTTTTCAAAACAAAGTGTACAGTGATTAAGATACAGTTTAACAGATTGATGGAAAAACAGATAGGGTGAACAAAATTCCAGACCACAAGGAAGTTTCAACCCTTATTTGTTTTGCAATGATGAGATGCTGTTGTCTAAAGTGATGGTTGTCCATTGATCATGTGAACTTGGGTCTTTTCTTGTACAAAATCCAAGACAATTTGGAAGTCATGACTTTTACCCTAGATAGGATGAGGGATGGGGCAAGAGAGAGAAAGGGAGAGTGATGTTATATTTGCAGGCTCTTTCCTGAGTTGCTGTTGGCCCCTACAGATCTTTTGCTAGGCAGAATTTCCTTAAATATTTTGTGCTGTTCAGTCTATAAATTTTCCTTTTATTGCTTCCAAAAAAGGGAACAATTGTATCTCAGCTCAACAAAATGCCACCCTTTTGCAACTTGAAAAACAGCTTTCCTGGTATTTCAGCCACAGCAGTCCAACTTTCATTTCAGTTTATACACAAGACAGTAGTAGTGAGCTATTCAGACTGATGGGTCTGCTCTACCATTCAGTGAAGTAGCTAAAGAGATAGTGGATTCATTGGTACAGGGCCTTGGTGAGGCTGCACCTAGAATGTTGTATTTACTTTTGGTCTCCTTTTGAGAAAGGATGGTCTTGCTCAAGGGAGTTCAGCAAAGGTGAATGTACTATAGTGAAGCCAGCAGATGACAAAAATTGATGAGAAGTGATGAGTGAGATTCTGAAGAGGAATAGAGACACATTATACAAAGTGAGCAAAAAAAAAATAAACTTGACAGAAGGAATAGCATTTGTGAAAATGTCAAATTGTGCACTTAGACAGGAAAGGAGGAGCTGAATACTTGTTAAATGGAGAAACACTTCTGAAAGCTTCAGAAAGATTGGTTGGGGGGGGTGGTGCTGTGTGCATGAGTCACAAAAACCTAGCATCCAGTGGGTGATAGGGAAGGCAAGTGGAATGTTGGTCTTTATTGCAGAGAGGAATGGAGTAATAAACTAGAGTGGTTTTGCTAAAACTACGCAAGGCACAAGTCAGACCATAGCTCAAATACCGAACAGTTTTGGGTCCTTTATCCAAGGAAAGATATGCTAGCATTGGAGACAATCCAGAGAAGATTCACTAGGATGATACCAGGTATGGAAGGACTTTATGAAGAGAGGTTAAGTAGTTTGGACTTGTACTATTTGGAATATAGAAGAATGACAGGTGACTTTATTGAAGCATTAAAAGATTTAGGAGATTTAACAGGGTAAATGCAGAAAGGTAGTTTCCCTTTTAGGGGAGTCTAGGAACAGAACATGTAATCAGAGTGAAGGGTTGCACATTTAAAGAGATGAATGAGGAGTGAACTTACCAAATGGCTTAATGGCGAGACAGTGGCTGTGGAGGGTTGTTTCAGACTGGAGGTCTGTGAACAGCCATGTGCCACAGGGATCAGTGCTGGGTCTGCTTGTCATTTATACAAATGATTTTAGATGAGAATACAGAAGGTATGGTTAGTGAAGAATGTTATTTAAGATTACAGCAATCTTAAAGTGACTCAATGGGCTGAGGAGCAACAGATGAGTTTAACTTTGACAAATGCAAGCTATTGTATTTTGGTAAAACAAAACAAGAATGGGACTTTTACAGTTAATGGATAGTCAAAACTGAAGATGCTGGAGTCATAACTTTTTCTGAAGGGTCTGACCCAAAATGTCAGCTTTCTTGCTCCACTGATGCTGCTTGGCCTGCTGTGTTCCTCCAGCTCCATGCTTATCTTTAAGAGTTAATGGTCAGTCTGCAGGAGTATTATAGAACAGAGACCCCTAGGGGTTGAGGTACATAATTCTTTGACATTTGCATCATATAGACAGGGTGGATAAGGCAGTGTTTAGCATGCTTGCCTTCATTGTTCAGACTATTGAGTATAGGAATGGGACATCATGTTGAGCCTGTACAGGATGTTGGTGAGGCCTCTTTTGGAGTACTGTGTCCAGTACAGCTTGCCCTGTTATCAAGGTGGCAAGGGTTCAGAAAATATTTAGTCAGGATGTCGCTGCAATGGAAGGTTTGCATTATAGGGAGACTGGAACATTTTTTCACTGGAGCATGGAAGGTGGAGGGGTGACCTTAGATGTTTAAGATCAGGAGGTGTCTAGATAAGGTGAATGGCTGGTATTTTTTCCTAGGGTGGGGGGGGGCACATTTTTAGTGAGAAGACATTTTAAAAAGGGACACGGAGTTTTATTTTTAAAAGCAGTGGTTCACATGTGGATTGAACCTGGAGGAAATGGTCAATACAGATACAACATTTAAAAACATTGAAATTACATGAATAGGAAAGCTTTTAAGAGCCATGGGCCCAGCAGGTGGGACTAGTTTAGTTTGGAATTATGGTCACCACAGAATGGTTGGCTCAAAGGGTCTGTTTCTATGCTGTATATCTGTCTTCCGAGGGTAATGAATCTGGAATTCAGAATTCTTTATTGCAGACAGCTATAAAGGCTGGTTTGATAAGTACATTCAAGGCTGAGACTTAAAAATCAGTAAGAGAGTCACAATGGAATCAGCGCAAGGGTGCATGCCCAGGAAAGTAGAGTATTGTTATTCAGTCAGTCATTACTTTGGTCTAGGCCAAAAACATCAGCCTTTCTGCTCCTCGGCCTGTGTTCATCCAGCTCTACATCTTCTCATTTCATTCAAGTCTCAGTTATTCAATGGCCTGAATGACCTATTCCTATAATGATAGGATGAAATACATCTAGACCCTTCATGAAAGGGCCTAAGTCTTAAGGGTTCCTCATGAAAGAATGGATTCATTAGTGTTAGTTTGCCAAAATACCCCTTGATGCAGGGAAAGGTTTCACAAGGAGAGTAGGAAATATAATCTGGTCAATTCAAGGAGGGAGGCAGAATACAGGAACTATAGACCATTTGATTTGTGGTGTCATGGGAATGTGATAGACCTGATCATTAGATTATAACTGCATACTTAAATTGGAAAGTGTCAGAATGGTCCTGTCAAAGCCCAAGCATATTTAACCAATTTATTCAAAGGAGCAACACTGTAGATAAAGGGGAGCTTTACATGTACTATACATTGCATTCTAGACAACTTTTGAAGAAACAAACATCAAAAAGTTATCACAGTAACTAAAGGTTTATGTACTATAGGGGGTAAAGTATTAGAATGGACAGAATTGTCAGACAAAGTGTACACAAATAGATCAGTGTCTGATTGGCAGAATGTGATGAGTGGAGTCAATAACTTGGAGGGAATGAGGGCACAGTAGCTAAATTCATAGACAATAAGTAGGATAACATACAGGCAAAAATCTGGAAGGGGAGTACAAGAGTAGAGATGTGAAGTTGTTCACTCTAGCAGTAAGACTAGATAATACAACTGTAGAATTCCAACATGCAGACAGATTTAGGTGTGCTGGAGCATGAGTCACCAGTCATGTAGGTCATGTATAGCACAATCAAGGCAGTTATTGGGATACTAATCTGTTAGGAGAATGGAACATAAAAAGGATGTATATCTGAAATCCATATATTGCATAGTTTTGATCTCATTTAAAGAGAGAGATGGAGATTCATCCACCAGCATTTCAGAGTTTTGCTAGATTTATGCCTACAGTGAGCAAGTGGCCTTAAAATTAGTTCCAGCCAAACTAAGACATCACCTTGAGGGTGACAATTTTGGAATACCACCTCAGGAGGTAGTGGAATTGAATGTTAGATCAGTACAGAACAGTTGTTAGACAGGGGAATGTAAGGGTTCAAAACAAGTGGAAACTTGGAATTCAAAGCAAGTCAGCCATGATCTTACTAAATGGATGAACACACAAGGAGTGAAAATGACTGACTTGTTTTTATTTACTACATTTATAGAACCATAAAAACCCCTACAAATAGTGAGCTGAAGTTGTTTTTTTAAAAAAAAACCCACAATCCACAGACAAAAGTTAAGAGAAAGAACAGTAATCTAACACTTCTACAGTTACACAGAAGGACTTAATAAGATCCAAATAAAAAGCAGAAATCCTCACCATCAACACATTCATCCCTTCCAGAACCAACTCCCTCCTGAATCTCCAGTCCAAAAAAGCCACTATCACAGCACACCAATAACTACCTGCAAAGAAACCAACTTCCACTAATAGGCCTGCTGACATTCTATATTTATGTAACAAGGTCATGACTTTGTCAGCTAAGATGATGGCTCAAAAGCCCAATCACCTGCCTACCACTTTATAAGCTTCCAGTCAAAGTTCTCAGGCCATTATTGCACTGCAATTTAACAATCTGTGTATTGCAACTAGCCAATTGGATGGCAATCCCAATGCTATCAAGGCAAGAAACACATGCTACAAAAGTGAGAATGATCCAACGCAGAAGCAGGCCGCTAACCCACTGTTTGTGCCTGAGTAATCCAATTAATTCCACTCCTCTGCTCTTTCCCTGTATTTTTTCCTTTCAAATATTTATCCAGTTTTCTTTTAAATGTTACTATTGAATTTGATTCCAACAATGTATTTCTGAAAGTATCTATCAAATGGTATTGCCCTTCGTGCCAGCGTTGATAGGAAGAAATCTGAGGCTACCATGTGCTGTTTGATCACATGAACGTTCACCAGGTTCTAAACTAGGGCAAAAGTATTTTCCATTCTGCCTCTTTCATTTGTTCTCAGGAGATGAGCAAAGCTCCATTCATTGCTCATCCCTAGTTGCCCATGGAGAAAGTGATGAGGGAGCCTCACTGCAGTCCATATAGTGGTGCTGATCCAATGCAGTTAGGTAGGGGGGGAAGTTCTGGGATTGCCGATGAAGCAACCACCCACATATGTCCAAGTTAAGGTGGTCTGAGACTTAGTGATAGTGTTACTACGACATTTCTGCTCACCCTTTGAATGGTTGAGGTCACATTTAAAGAAGGCTTGTGAGGGCTTTTTATGTAAACTTGCTTATTACTGCGTTGCATCATATAAATCGCATCCTACACACTGCAGCCACAATGCACTGGTGATGGAGGAGGATAGTATATAAAAGGGCAATCAATGAAACTGCCTGGCTCTGCTTGGTGAACATCTTAGAAAAGCCACCATTCCTTTTATTTTATTTCATTCAGTAGGATGTGGCTTGCTCAACCACGTCAGAGGGCAGTTAGAGAGGGTAAGATGAAGTTGAGTGGCAGGAGGCTTCTGTGGGTATAGACCAGTTGGACCAACTGGCCTGTTCCTGGGTCCTACATTTTTTCTAACTCTATGCAGTATTCAACAATGTTGGTGCCACAACTGGAGTCATGCATAAACCCAGAATAGTTTCCATTCCTTATCATCTACTTGGATTCTTAATAATAATCTCAACATTTTCATGGTCAGTCTTATTGATTTGATGTTTTTATTCTTAGTTTTAAAAAGAGAAACTAAAGTTAAATTCTCAAGCTGTAGTGGTAGAATTTAAACTCACACGATCAGTGTTAGTTTTTTTTTGGGTGAAGCCATCATAGGGTGTAAGGCAAAGGTAGGTAAAGGGAGTTATGATACAGCTATTTTTGGGGAGGGAGGATCAGACTTCCACTTGTATGGAGGAGGAATTTCAGATTTCATTGGCCGACAGCTTAATTCTAATATTACATCCCCTGTTATTGATCCTAACACGACAGAAAATTGTTTCTTCAGCTCTACAGGATCAAATAGTTTTAACTTGATAAAAAAAAACTTGCTGTTAACCGTCAAGAAGGATTTATCGCCTTTGGAGATGATGCAACATTAATACCTCAGGGGTGAAGGGGTTCAGTTAAAACGTGAAGTTCCAGAAACTTCAGTATTCCCTTCAATTTAGAAATTGAATGCATGTTTAGAATGGTAGTGGGGGTCTGGCTTCATTTTGCATTACCACTTTCAACCACTAGAGGACCGACATGATGGTTGTATGACGTACCTACAAATTACAACACTGTCTCTCTACCTCCTCCTACTGAACAGTCTCCATCGGTGGCTGACTCGTAATTGACTCACAAAAAGTCACTTCATGGGAGGTTATTAAACAAATCTTGACACTGAGCCACATCAGGGGGTATTAGGCCAGATGTCCAAAGTTTGGTCTCAGAAGTAGTTGTTTAAGGAGTGACATAAGGGAGGAGAGATAAAAAGATTTGGGTTGGGAATTCCAAATCTAGGGCCAAGGCAGCAGAAGGCATAGCCACCTTCGTTGGGGTAATTAAAGTCAAAGATGGTTAAGAAGCCAGAATTGGAGACACTCAGAGATAGTGGAGATTTAGGCCTGGAAGAAGTTTCAGAGACAGAGAGGGTTGACACTATAGAGGTATTTGAAAACAAGGATGAGAAATTCATATTTGTGATGTTCTTGAACCTGGAGCAAATACAAGTGATACAGGAGTGGTAAATGAACAGGACTCGGAGCAAATTGGGATACAGCTTGTTGGATGAGTTTAATTTTATGGAAATAGAAGTGGAAAATGAAAGATTTCAATCACAGGCAATCTGGCAATGATGAATCAGCTTTTAATATTGCACCAGAGATTGAGAAAATGCATAAAATAAAATTTCTTGTGCCCAAATTTGTGATTTCCCAAGCAACCTACTTTGTAAGTCTCAGGTTCAAACCCACCTCCACAATTTGGATTTCACAAGTGTGCTTGGTGTTCCAGTGCTGGTTAGCGAGGGCCCCAATGATGTCCATGAGAAAGCTCAGCTGTGACAGCAAGATCAGGCTTTAATATACTTTCTCCAACATATGTTATGCCAGGATCTCAACTGTAGGTAAATCCCCATTAGTCTAAAGAAAGCTAAAAGCAGTAAACAAAAATAAACGAAAGAACTGCAGATAATGGAAATCAGAAACAAAAATAGAAATTGTTAGGAAAACTCAGGAGGTCTGGCAGCATCTGTGGAGAGAAAACAGGGTTAACATTTCAAGTTCACTGATCTTTCTTCAGAATTGATTTTAGCTAGGAAAAAGTTGGTGAAGATGGAGTGGGGCGAGGGGGAAGGAGTAAACAAAAAATGGAGATGGAGCCCAGACAGAGAGAGAGAGAGAGAGAAAGACAGTTGGGCAGGCAAAGGAATGGAGTAAAGGTCAGCCTGGGAGAATCAATGACTGCTAATGGGGACCATCAGTAGCTGTAGTTGTAGCCCACGTGTTGACAAAATCTGGTGTGTGGGGGTCGGGGAAAGACATGGGAGAAGGCTGTAAAGTTATTGAACTTGACATTGAGTCCCAAAGGCTGCAGAGTCCCCAAGTGGAAAATGAGATGCTGTTCTTCTAGCTTGCGCTGAGCTTCAGAAGACGGTTGTGAGATGAAGTGGCAGGCAACAGGAAGTTCACGTTCATTTTCGCAGACAGAACGTAGATGTTATGCAAAGCAGTCACCCAGTCTAAATTTTGTCTTCCAAATGTAGAGGAGATCACATTGTGAGCAGTGAATACAGTAGACTACATTGAGTGAAGTGCAGGTACCTGGAAGGTATGTTTGGGGCCTTGGATAGTGAGGAAAGAAGAAGTAAAAAGGCAGGTCTTACAGGCAATCTTTAATTACATGGGAAGGTGCTGTAGGGGTGTGGGGAAGTGTTGGGAGTGGAGGAGGAGACGACTAGGGTGATCCGGGGGATTGGTCCATGTGGAAGGCTGACAAGGGAGGGGAGGGGAATTTGTGTCTAGTGGTAGCATCCCGCTGGAAGTGGCAGAAATGATGGCTAGTCATCCTTTAGATGTGGATGCTGGTGGGGTTGAATACAAAAGCACCCTATTGCCACATGCAAGGGAAGAGAAAGGGTGACGACAAAGTACGGGAGATTGGTCAGATATCGGTCAACTATAGTGTTGGGGAATCCTGGACTCAGGAGGAAGGTGGATATTTCAGGGACTCCCTTGTAGAAGCTGCATCATCAGAACAAATGCAAGGGAGAATGGACTAGAGTCTTTGCTGGAAGTGGGGTGTGAGGATGTATAATCAGTGGGTTTGTAATGGATTGTAGGCTAAAAGCAGATCTGTTCAAATTCTGAAGAGTTTTCCATTAGCTCTGAATTTAAGGATTAGAGACCTTTGTCCTGGATTTGCTCAGCAGATTTTTAAAGGAATTTGATGGCTTAGTTTTTGTTTTAGAAGGAGTAAAAGCTAACTCTAAGCAACCTGCCTTTGTAATTTAACACTTGCAGCACCGGATTCATTTTGCATCCTTCCCATCTATTCCCGAGTTATTAAGTACAATATTGAACAGTACTCTGATGGTATTCTTTTTAGATTACAGTCCCCTTGAGTTATAACAGTTTCAAGTTCTTGGTGGGAATAAATAGGCAGACACTCCATTTAGGTTCTAAAGCCTTTAATGAATATCCTTCGATATGATGACCCCTTAGCTTGAAGTCCAAGGCACTTTGTACAGTGAACAGTTTTAAACCATTGATTAGACCTTGTCTGATGTTGGCTACAACAACACTGCACACATGACCAAAACAAAGCCAAGAACCAGATGGGGATGGAAAGTGAATGACTAAACAATGTATTAGATGTCTGCAATCATTGTCTACAAATCTCAACTTATACCTATGTGCACATTTCTAGTCTGGTGGTGGGAAAAGAGGTTGGAGAAACTAGAAAACAAATTATTTCCAGCTCAGCAACATCTCTGCATCCACATTCTTGTCAACTTATATAACCTACCATTGCAGACTGATAGCCATTTTTAGTGTGCAACACTAGGCCCCATTATCCCAAACTGGTAGCCATTTACACTTTACATGAATTGATCTCAATTTTACAGGTTGGTAGCCATTTATAGTATAGATCATTTGATTCAATTGACCCAAACTTGCAGCCCAGTGTGGTACTGAAATATACAGAGCAGGAAAGATCCAGTTTCCATTATTGATCTGTAATAAGTTAGTTGAACCTGAGCAGGGTCAACAACAGGGCACAACCATTGTTCTTGATACCTCTGGGAGTATAGCAGAGTTCCCCCACCTGAGTACTACCTCTTTTTCATAGTCCCTTTTTGTGCAAATTATGTAAGTAGGATGAAGATTGAACTCAGCCGTGACCCTTCTCATAGTGAATGTGGAACCCATGAAATGATTCCAAAGCAAGAATTATCATCTTCAATGTAGAATATGAGTGTGAAAATATTGACCTCCATGCTGCAAACAAAGTATTGTAAAGAGCCTACAAAGGGTACTAAAAGAGTATCCCCTTTAGGATGACTTGAACATTCTGATAAAATTCAATCTACGTATGTGGAGGATAAACTATTTCTGTGTTATAAAATTCAATGTGATATAAAGGGACACTTTGGCTCCCAGGCACTATTAGGAACTAGATTGTAAACCAGGAATTCGTTGATTACAAATGAGATCAATGAAACTGATTGTTTAATTCCACAGCAACCCACATTATCCTGTCCTAAACAGATAATCAGTAGACTACACAGGTTTTGAAGGGGCTCGTTAGTTAACTGGAACCAGAGCTTTTATTATCTCAAAACATAACCCAGTCACCAGGTTTGGAAAAATAATCTCCAATTTTCAACTTCCTTCCCACTGTGCTGACATTCAGTGGGGTATACACTTAGGATTGGTTCCCAACCTCTGCTCCCTCACCTAATTGGCTGTTCTCCACGTAAGCATTGTCATGAGTGGAGGCAGAATGTTCAACCTAGATGAGCATCACAAACCCAAGTCTAATCATTCGATGTCCTCACATACCCACGGTCCTTTGGCATAATGTAATGATCAAAGGTGGCAAGCCTTGTTGTTTAAGTTCCTCCTCAGTCTGGGGGTCCTGAGGCCAACTGTGACACTTCTGTCATTGCTCCAATGAAATTAAGCTAATTCATTACAGACCAAGCTGGAAACTGGGATCCATTCTGACTCAGTATTGCACTGGGAAGGCTGTTTGAATTCAGATATCAGGAGAGTTCTGTACCTTGGTTTTGTCTTAATATAAATGAGTGGCATATATATGATATATATTGTTGCTGGTCAAATAGCAGATAGCAAGTTATACAGACACCCTTAATAATCTGCAAAAAGTAGTTCAAATTAAATTGTCTCTGGATAACAGAAGAATGGTATTTATTGTAAAAGCAAAATATTGCAGATGCTGGAAATGAGAAATAAAAAAAACAGAAATGCTGGAAATACTCAGATGGTCTGGCAGCCTCTGTGGAGAAGGAAAAAGAGTTAAAATTTTGGTTTAAAATTTCTTCTTCAGAATGGTATTTTTATTCTGTTTTTTAATCAATCTGACTTAGAAGAGATGATCCCAAACTTTAACCGAAGCACTTTTTAAAATACTTGTAAATTTACCATACAGATAAAAAAGTTAAAAAAACTATGAATCTGACCAAGGTAAGGGTATTTGGATATTGCAAACATCTTTCCAGACAGTTTACAGAAGGATAATTCTAGCTTTTAAGCCGTGCAAATCTAAACAAGTCATTGTTATATAGTCCGCTATAGATTGTTACCTGATTTCCTCCGTGCTGTTAGTCATAGTTTGTCACTGCCTTTAACATTACTCTGCTTCCCAGGTCTGTATCCTTCTTCCTTTGCATGTCATTGGCCTCCTTCATTCATTTGGGATGAAACTGAACACAGGCAGGGATGTGAAACAGGATGGGTTGCATACCCCATCCGATATACCCCACATCCAGCTATTGATTCTGCTGCAGTCAATAGTACTGGACTGAATATCAGGAGGAATATTTACAGGCCACCTCCAAACAGTTCTCATTGTTCCTCCCAAACACCAAATCTCCTTACCCATTCCTCCATCCTTCACGTAGATGAAATCCAGTCTCACCACATTGTCTCCTATTTCTCATCCTTTCCCCAGCATCTCACATCATATCCTGGCCCATGACCATCCTCCCTGCTTTATTTTTCAACTAACATTTCTACCCATTTTCATCACTTTTCTTCAGATTCCATTTCCCTCTTTCACTCTTTCCATTAGCTTTTTGAGCCTATTGTCTCTCTGAGACTTGTACCCGACTACCTTCCTTCACAAGTCTCTCTCTTAGTTGGGACAGGATAAATAGTTACTCTCTTATCTCTATAGTCTCTATCATAAATAAGCCTGATTTTAACTCTGAGGGTTTTGATTTGTAGCAACAGCTGTTGTCACTATTTATCAAACTAATGATGTCGGTGCTAGTATATTCTCTCCTGTCCTCTTAAAGTCCCAAATTGATGCCCACCATAAGTCTTCCTGTGCCCTGCATCCACACTGTGTTGAATGCATGGGCTCGAATGCACCATCTCCAAATCTAATTAATTCCCCCACAGGACATCAAACGGGTCAGTTTCCTCCCCTTCCCTCAGTTCTTTCTCTGAAAACCAAGCTTGGTGTCCAGAAGGCTACTTCACTGCTATAGTTGCACTACTAAATGTTGTACTGTGAGCCTTGTTGGGTAGCCTACGCAATGTCCTCTGTCCCAACTCCCAGCCTGAGGTCAGAGGCATGACCTATGAAAGGTATGGTCAAGAAAGGAGCAGGAGGAAATATATACACTAACGGGGTCAAGTCCCCAAATACCAGACAATCCAGTCTGCCACTAATATTTCCATTTGTGAAAAACTAGTCTCACATGCCCTTGATAAGGTGGACAATGTACTCGATACCAGCTTTCTCCTATTAATCCAGCATCTTCCACAAATCAGAGATTAATACAGAATAGGAGGCTATTTGGTCCATTGTGCTTGTGATAGAGCTTTGAAAGTTTAAATAGTTCCTCATCATTTTCACCTTAGCCTAAAGAGCATCCCATTAAAAGTTCAACTGCAGGAAAAGGTATAAAGAGGGGACTGTAGGGAATTTTGGGGATGGGAGGGAGTGTGGGGGCAGGCACTAGTGATCATGGGAGATATGTTTTATATATTTTACATGGCCTCAGAGATGGTGTGAGTTGGAGGAAGGGTTAAGCAGCTGTTCTTTCCATTCATCCTCACCTTCCAGTGGATGAGCCACCTCAGGAGGTAAGCTAAGTGCAAAAATGAAGCTAAAGAACAGATTCCATTGTAATGCCTTCTGGAGTAAGCATATAAACAAGGAACAAGAGTAGGCCACTCGGTCCTTTGGACCTGCTTCATGATTCAAAAGATCATGGCTGATCTGATTTTAACCTCGACTCCGCATTCCAGCATACCCCTGATAATTTTACATCCCCATGGTAATCAAGAATCTATCTACCTCGGTTTTAAAATTGTTTAAAGATTCTGTATCCACTGCCTTTTGAGGAAGGGAATTCCAAAGACACTGACAACCCTCTAAGAGAAAAAAAATCTTCATCTTTGTTTTAAATTAGTGATCCATACTTTAAACGATGACCCCTAGTTCTAGATTTCCCACAAGAGGAAATATCCTTTACATATCCACCTGGTAAAGTCACCTCAGGATTGTCTATGTTTCAATCAAGTCACCTCTGACTCTTCTAAACTCCAGAGCATACAGGCTGAGACTGTCTAGCCTCTCCTCATAAAGCAATCTGTTCATTCCAGGTATTAATCTAGTAATCCTTCACTGAATTGGTTCCAACACATTAACATCTTTCTAAAAGTGACCAGTACTGCACACAGTACTACATATACCAACTCACCAATGCCCTATATAACTGAAGCAGAACTTCCATACACTTGCTTTTAACTTCCTTCCAATAAAACATAACATTCTAATGGATTTCGTTTTACTTCCTGGATCTGCATACTATCCTTCTTAGATTTGGATGTGAAAGTAGGAAGTATGGTTAGTAAGTTTACAGATTACACCAAAATTGGTGGTGTAATGGACAGTGAAGAAGGTTATATCAGTACAATGAACCTTGATTAGATGGGACAGTGGGCTGAGGAGTGGCAGATGGAGTCTAATTTAGATAAATATGAGATGTTGCATTCTATTAAGACAAATCAGAGCAGGATTTATACAACTAATGGTAGGAACCTGGGCAATATTGCCAAACAAAGGGACCTAGGGTGCAGGTGTATAGTTCCTTGAAAGTGGAGTCACAGGTAGACAGGGTGGTGAAGAAGGTGTTTGGCATACTTGCCTTCATTCATCTGTGAATTGAGTACAGGAGTTGGGACATCGTATTGTCATCGTGCTGTACAGAACATTGATTAGAACAATTTTAGAATACTGCGTTCAATTCTGGACTCCCTGCTGTAGGAAAGATGTTGTTAAACTTGGAAGAGTTCAGAAAATATTTACAATGATGTTGCCAGGATTGGAGGGTTTCAGCTAGAGAAAGAGGCTGAATAGGCTGGGCTATTTTCCCCCGGAGCATTGGAGGCTGAGGTGTGACCTTAGAGAGGTTTATAAAATCATGAGGTACATGGATAGGTTGAATAGCCAAGGTCTTTTCCTTGGGTAGGGAAGTCCAAAACTAGAGGGCATAGGTTTAAGTGGAGAGGAGAAAGATTAAAAAGGGACCTAAGGGGTAACTTTTTCACGCAGAGGGTGGTGCGTGTATGGAACAAGCTCCCAGACGAAGTGGTGGAGGCTGGTACAATTACAACATTTAAAAGGCATCTGGATGGGTACATGAATAGAAAGGGTTTAGAGAGATATGGGCCAAATGCTGGCAAATGGGACTCGATCAGTTTAGGATATCTGGTAGGCATGAACGAGTTGGACCAAAGGGTCTGTTTCAATGCTGTGTAACTCTATGATTAGGATACCTCAGATCCCCCTGCATCTCAGAGCTCTGTACACTCACCATTTAGATACTATACTTCTGTTTATTCTCTCTGTTATAATGGATAATTTCATATGTTCCCACATTATACTCCATTTACCATATCTTTGCCAACTCACTTAACACATCTGTACCCCTTTTTTAGACTCTTTATGTCCTCTTCACAACTTAAGTCCCTCTGTCTTTTGCCATCTGGAGTCACACATGAAGAATGGGGTATGGCTAAGAGTTTGGGAGGTAGTTAATGCCTTTGGATCCTGTATTCTACACCCCACCCCTCATCTTCACCCACTCCTAGAGAGAGGAGAGGAAATGCAACTAGAGGGCACTTCAAAACAAAAGGATGCACCACACCATTCTGGTTGAAGCTAATTTTTCATACAATGTGTGAGAGTCTGTTGCCAACCTAGATAGTTTAACAGTTGTATAATACTGAAGCAAATCCATCATCGTTATACTGATATAAAATGCATACAGATACTGATAAATAGTCCCTTTTGGGGTTTCAACATTCTTCTCCAAGATAGTCAGGTTAACCTTGCATTGTGTCTTTTTGAGAAAAGAATGAGGAATCGCAAAGGCAAGGTGCGACCACATTTTTTTACGCCCAGGATTGACCTGTTTCTGTGCTGTAAATTCTATGTAATTTCTAAGTAGTAGTCTTTCTTCTTAAAAAAAAATATTTTGAAAGGGTCATGTCTCTCTTTGTCCGATACACGCATACAGTGCAGGGACACCGCTCATTGTTCAACACGTCCATTCCGCCCTATAGGTCGGCAGACAAGAATTTTGCATAAAATCAAACTTTCTGTTATCATTGCATTGCTGGGGAAACAGAAGGATCATTTTGGCTGGTTTTCAAACAAAAAGCCAAATTGACCTTGACTGAAAGGCCCTAAGAAATGTCAAGTACTTTCTTCCTCTCCCTGTTGCTCCTGCTGTGGTTGTAATTTCCTCATCAGGAATCACTCCTGTTTTGTTTGGTTGCACCTGGACGAGCCAACCAGTTAAATCCGTTTTGTTGCTTTATTTTTTTGGTTGACTTTTGGCTCCGGGACACCAGGGAGAGCTGTCCACCTAGCAAAGGAGGTCAGCTGTGGGATTTGTAACATCCACTTTCACCGGTGTCCTGGAGCACTGGTCAGCCTGGATCATGGGCTCAAATCCTGTAGTGGGGCCGGAAGCCACAGGTCCTATGTGTGACCAAACCAGACAAGCTGGTGCCAAGCTTAAAGCAGGCAGGGAAATGCTGATAGCTACACCCAGCAGTGAAGGGGCTCGTGTTGTGCTTATTTTGTTATATATATCTTTGTTTATATATGTATTTCTTCCCTTTATAAAAACAATCACGGTTTTGGCAATAGGCAGTGACAGGAAGTCTCTTAGTGATGGCTGCAGGTTTTGCTATTGTTTGAAGAAGCCCTGCATCTCAGCTCCCATGAGAAGGTAATCCTTACTTCTGCTCCTGGCCAGCAAACCCCTCAACCAACACACTCGTCTTCTTGTTTCAGAACTGAACCTGTTCCTTTCTTTTTGCCTCACCTGGCAGCAACTTGGAAGGAGTTGAAGGGTGGGGTCGGTGTAGCAGAGTAGCAGCGGAGAGGGAGTGTCAACACCCCATGGGGAAGAAAGGGGGTAAAAGGCAATTCTGCATAAGATGAGAGCTCTGGTCCTATAGTGCCTGCAATCCCACCTTTCTGTTCATAGAGCCGAAGTGAAGGGTGGTGTGGAGGGTGGAGGGCTTGGGAGGAAGATGTTAGGGGAAAAATAAATCACTCCTTGTCCAAGGTTCAGGGCCCTAACAGCTGCTGGAACTGGTACAAGGGGTTGGGAAGGAGGGGGAGCTGAATCCCAGCTGGCTGTCAGAGTGCTGGGAGTCACCGTGTGTGCTGCCAGCCTCGGCAATAGCGCTGAGGAGTTGCTGCTGCTGTTGCTGCAGGGTGTCGGCGATCAATCTTGGCAGGGCGTGGAAGCTGCTGGTCAGTCCCTCCAGCTTGTTCTCCAGGCTCATTATCTGCTTCTCCAGGTCTTCGCCTCGATCGTTCAGCTCTGTGATCAGGTCGTACATGATTGTCTGCATCTAGGATGCACATATACAATAAAAGCAGTGAAATTTAGTTTCAGAGCTGCCTATTGGAATGACCATGCTTCCTACGCTTACTAATGCTGCTTCACCAAAATCTCAAACTCCTAACTCCTTAACCTCACCGATCTCTGCTTCTGCTTTATTCAGTCTGCAATAGAAACCCTCATTGATAACTTTGCACCTACGGACCCAGACTAGTTCATTGCTTCTATGGTCAATCAGCTACCTTCTGTAAACTGCAGCTCATCCAAAATTCTGCTCCCAATATCCTATCTCGCATAATATCCCATTCACCCAACAACTCACAGATCTAAAACAAAAACAGAAATTGCTGGAGAAACTCAGCAGGTCTGGCAGCATCTGTGGAGAGAAAGCAGAGTTAACATTTTGGGTCCAGTGACCCTTTTTCAGAACTGATGGTAGCTCAGAAAGGTTGGTATATTTGCTGAAGATAGAGTGGGGTGAGGGGGATGGCAGTTGATGGAGGAATAAATGATAGGTGGAGATGCAGCTAGAGAGAAAAACACTTGGGCAGACAAAGGAATGAGTAAAAGTCAGCCTGGGGGAATCAACGGCTGCGAGTGGGGACCATGTGATGACAAGGCCTGGTGTATGAGGGTTGAGGTAAAAACGCAGGAGAAGATCCTCAGGTCCTAAAATTCTTGAACTCTGTATTGAGTCTGGAAGACTGCAGGGTACCCAAGCAGAAAGTGAGATGCTGTTCTGCCAGCCTGCACTGAGCTTTGCTGGAGCACTGCAGCAAGCCCGACACAGATGTTGGTCAGGGAACACAGTGGTATGTTGAAATGGCAGGTAACCGGGAAGTTCAGGGTCATTTTTGCAGAAATAATTGGTCACCCAGTCTGCATGTTGTCTCCCCAATGTAGAGGAGACCACGTTGTGAGTAGCAATTACAATAGACTACATTGAGTGAAGTGCAGGTAAATCACTGCTTTAGCTGGAAGGGGTGTCTGGGGTCTTGGATAGTGGGGAGGTCAGAAGTAAAAGGGCAGGCAGTGCATGTTCTGTGACTGCATGTGGGTGTGGGGGAAGTGTTGGGAGTGGAGGTGTCCCAGAGGTAACGTCCCTTTGGTAGGCTGACGAGGGAGGAGAGGGGAATATGTTTCTCCTCGTGGTATCCAGCTGGAGGTGGCCAAAACAGCAGCTAATCATCCTTTGGATGTGGATGCTGTGGGGTGGTAAGTGAGGACCAGGGGACCCTATCACTGTTTTGGGAGGGAAAAGGAGTGAGGGCCAAAGTGTGGGATTTGGGTGGGACATGACTGAGGGACCTGTCAACCATAGTGATGAGGAATCCTCAGTTAAGGAAGAAGGTGGACATTTTGCAGGTCCCCCCTTGAGGAAGCTGGCATTGTCAGAACAGATGCGATGGAGGTGGAGCAACTGGGAAAATGGAACAGAGTCTTTACAGGAAGCAGGGTGTGAGGATATATACCATAACTATGGGAGTCGGTGGGTTTAGTGGATGGAAGAGTCACTTGACCCAAAACATTAACTCTGATTTCTGTCCACAGATGCTGCCAAACCTGCTGAGCGTTTTCAGCAATTTCTGTTTTTGTTTCTGATTTACAGCATCTACAGTTCTTTTGTTTTTTTTGTAGTGGATATTGATGGCCAGCTTATCCCCAGAAACAGAAACAGAGATGTTGAGGAAGGGAAAGGAGGAATCACAGATGGACGAGGTGAAGGTGGGAGCAGAGTAGAAATTGGAAGTGAAAGAGACAGGCATGGGCCCATGTGGGTAGCCATGGCTACACCTCTGACCTGAAGATAATGAGAGGAGTTAAAGGAGCAGTTGTTCAAAATGAAGATGAGCTTGGTCAGGCAGAGGAAGGTGTAGAGGAATGGGACAGTTCAGACGTTTTTTCCAGGAAGAAGCAGTGAGCCTCAAGACCATCCTCGTGGGGGATTGACTTGTAAAGGGATTACATGTCCACATTGAAGAACAGGTGGCTGGAGTCCATGAGCTGGAAGTTCTGAAACTAGCTTAAAGTGTCAGAAGAATCATGGATATAAGTGGGAAGGGACTGGACAAGCAGAGAAAAAAATTGAGTTGAGATAGGAAGCATATCTCTGTGGGGCTGGAGCAGCAGAAACAATAGATCTGTCCTGTTTGTAGATTTTGGGAAGGAGGTAGAAGCATCAATGTGGGGTTGGGGTCTATGAACTTGGAAGCAATGGGGGGTGAGATCACCTGATGAAATGAGATTAGTGACCATTGTGGACACACCTCACAGGTCTACACTGGCTTCTGGTCTGGCAAAGCTGCAGATTTAAAATTTTCAACCTCCTAGTCAAACCTCATTATGGTCACACTCCCTCCTTTCTCTGATACCTCCACCAGCCCCATAATCCTCCTTTGATTTCTTCAATTTTGAACTCTTGTGTATTCATTTTCCCTTTGCTTGTTATTTGTGGCCATTTAACCGGCCACTAAACTCTGGAATTTCCTCACCAAACCTCTCTAGCCCCTCCTTTAAGGTGCACCTTAAAACAGACTTCTTTGACTGAGCTTTTGCTTACTTGCCCTAATATCCCCTTATGCAGCTCAGTGTCAAATTTGTCAAATAACATCCTTGTGAAGTGCCATGGGATGCTTTTCCTATGTTAATGGTGGTACATAAACTCAAGTTGCTGTTTTTAGTGCATTCCAGAACATAACATATTATGTAAAAGAAAAAATTGTCTTCTCCTCTTATGTTCTGCATAAAGCTATTGCCAGAAGGTTTTAGTGTTGTCAGCATTTGCTGTTTTCCTTTAAGATTTGTAGCCTCTGCAGATTTTACTTGTTTTTTGCCAATGGAATGAGTTAAACAACATGAAGAATCCCCTCTCCATGAGTAAACTCTGCTGTCCTTGAGCTAGGAATTCTTGACATAGACTCAGGATTACCAAGGTAAGAAAATTCTCCACTCTTGACACTAGAATTTCTCTATCCAGGCCACAGCAAAAATTCAGAACTTTAAACAAGAGGTCTTGGTTCAAGTGCCCATTGTAATTCACTCTGAAAACCTCATGGTGGCATCATACACTCATGAAATACAAGGCCCTGGCGCCTCTTAAACTTGAGCACTGAATCTGAACCCTTCACATTAATGTGAGAGGTGGCTGGCAACAGAGAGAAGTGGCAACATACCAGTCAGTGCACCTATATATCCTGCTGTGCTACTGACTCCCTGCTGTATATTTCACACTGTAACTGCCCCCACGTTTGTTGTGCTGTCCCATAGATTCCACCCCCGCTACCCTGTGACCACAAGATCACAAGATATAGGAACAAAATTAGGCCATTTGGGCCATCAAGTCTGCTCCGCCATTCAATCATGTTGATGTGTTTGTCAACCCCATTCTCCTGCCTTTTCAGTGTAACCTTTGATTCCCTTACCAATCAAGAACTTATATATCTCTGTACTAAAGACACTCAATGACTTGGCCTCCACAGCCCTTTGTAGCAATGAATTTCACTGATTCACCACCCTCTGGTGAAGAAATTCCTCCTCATCTCAGTTCTAAAGGGTCATCCCTTCACTCTGAGGCTGTGCCCTTGGGTCCTAGTCTCTACTACTACTGGAAACATCTTTTCCACGTCCACTCTATATGAGGCCTCTTGGCATTCTATAAGTTGCAATCAGATAACCTCTCATCCTTCTAAACTCCATCGAGTACAAACCAAAAGTCCTCAACTGCTCCTCATATGACAAGCCCTTCATCCTCAGCATTATTCTTGTAAACCTCCTATGGACTCCCTGCAATGCCAACAGATCCTTCCTTAGATATGGGGCCCAAACTGCTCACAATATTCCAAATGCAGTCTGACTATATAGCCTGAGAAGGTCATCCCTATTCTTGTATTCTAGCCCTCTTGAAATGAATGCAAACATTGCATTTGTCTTCCTAACTGCCAACTGAACCTGCATGTTAACCTTAGAGAATCCTGAACTCATACTCCAAGTCCCTTTGTGCTTCAGATTTCTGAAGTCTTTCCCCATTTAAAAGAAGTCTACGCCTCCATCTTCCTACCAAAGTCCATAACTTCATAACAAGGTATTCCATCTGCCATATCTTTGCCCAGTCTCATACCCTGTCCAAGTCCGTCTGCAGCCTCCCTGCTACCTCAACACAAGTCTCTCCGGATATCTTTGTGTCATCTGCAAACTTAGCAACAATGCCCTCAGTTCATTTGTCCAGATTGTTAATTATGATGTGACTAGTTGTGGTCCCAACAGTGATCCCTGTGGACTCCTCTAATCACTGCTGTCATCCTGAAAAAGACTCCTTTATTCCCAGTCTCTGCCTTCTAACATCAGCCATCTTCATGTGTTGTAGTCAACCATCAGTCTCATGTGTCTCAGTGTACCACTGCCCCCCCTTGCATGTCTCACCCTACCACTGCCTTCCCAACCCCGCCCCGCATGTCTCACTCTACCACTGCCTCTCCCCCCATGCGTGTCTCACTCTACCACTGCCTCCCCCCCGCCCCCATGTGTGTCTCACTCTACCACTGGGTCTCAGCCCTGTGTTTCTCTCACTCTGTAGTTGGTTCCTTGTTTGTGTGTGTGTGTGTGTGTGTGTGTGTGTGTGTGTGTGTGCACGTGTGAGATTCTCTCATCAGCTCTCTGTGTCTGTTTCACTGTACTATCGGCCCCGCATCATTGTATCAGTTTATCATCGCCTTCCCACCTCCCCAAACAGTGCATCTCAGATGACTAATTGCCCTTCATGTGTGTCTCACGTTACCATCACTCCCCCCACACCATGTGTCTCATACTATTGGCCCCCATGAGTGTCTTTACCATTGGTCCCAAATGTATCTCAGTCTTCTACCTCCATGTGTGTCTCAGACTCCATTGGACCCTCATATATATTTCACCCTATTATTAACCCCCATCCTCTGCGTGTCTCACTCCATCTCCATCACCCCCCCACCCCCACCCCCACCCCTGCCATGTGTCATTGAGTTTAATTGAGTGGGGCTTAAATCCACATACATTGTGACACAGAGCCAAGAATGCTGACCACTGACCTATGGCCCTGGGTTAGTAAAGCTCCCTGAAATGCTCCACCTCAAAAGGATGAGAACACAAAAGACACCAGCTGTACCTAACATGAATTAAACCCTGAAAGGAAGATCAGATTTACTGGTGGCACTGGCTTTACCCCTACCACATTTAAGCTATTTTACATTGAGGGATATTAATACACACCCTCTGGAGCAGATGGGATTTGAACCCAAGCTGCCTGGCTCAGAGATAGGGACGTGACCACTGCACCCCAAAAGCTCTCCTGTTAGCATTTCATTCAAAACAACATGTAATACGTTTTGAATAGAGCTGTGTAGTTTGGAGATGGTCCCTGAATTCACCACTCCTGGTGTTAAAGGATTTCTAATTGAATTCAATAAAGATCTGCAATTGGATTAAAAAGCTGCTTGTTACCATAGCCACAATCAGGGTGGGGGGTGCAGAGGTGAAAGAAAATGACAGGCAGGTAAATGAAATGAAATGGAACAGCCGGTAGGATTAAACAAGCACAAGCAGAGACATTCTTGCCACATGGATATAATCCTCTAATAATTTAAAGCATAATTTAACTCCCGTATAATGCCACTATGCAGGTTCAGAATAATCCTCTCATTATGCCTGTATATGAATCTCCTGACTGCATTAAGTTGCTGCTGATTTTTGTCTCAACTGTGCTTCTAGACCCGCAGTCCCTGTTATTCATCTGTCCTAAAGGTAGGGCACCCAACCCCACCACAAGCCTGGTTACTGCCCAAGACCCCTCTTCACTTGTCTGGGCAGACAGCTATTAACCATCAGCAATGAATCCTGAACAGGTGCACAGACAAGCCCACCTTCAGCTGATGTACGATTTGGCGGAGGGAAGGGCGTAGGTGGTTGGCATTCACTGGATTTACCCTAGGCAGAAATCATGGGCACCGTAGCCAACTGCACTGCCACTTGTGGTCAGCTGTCTCAGCGCATACCAGGAATGGAACCTGGTATCTTACTTCTCTGAATGGCTCAGTACTTTAATTACCAATTGAGGCACAGAGGCAGCAATGCAAAATTATAATAGAGTGATTAAGAAGGGGACTGAAGGATGGTGAGCCATCCTGCCCACCCCAGAAGTTTTGTCTTTCAGTAAGTATTACCTTTGAGAGGTCAACTAGAGTATTTGCCTGGTCATTGAGTTTCCTCTGCTCCATCTTCACGTTACGAAGCCTGTGGAATAACCAGAAAAATACAGATCCTCACGACGGCTGAACACAAAATATGACAACTCTCACTAACCTCTGGTGTCTCTACCAGACAATTCTCTTTGGGAAGGACAAGAAGATTTCACCCATGGATATCAGAACACCCAAAGCGTGATAAAAAAAAAACAGTGAATGGATGGAGGCCATTCAGCCCCTTCATTCTGCTCTACAGAATGATTTTTGTACCCTTTCTCTATGGCCCTTCACGCCCTTACCCAACAAAGATCTACTGACCTCAGTCATGCCAGTCAATTGACCCCCAACATCTACAGCCTGCTGGGGAGTGAATTCCCTATTTCCAACATCCTTTGTAAGAAATATCACAAGGAACATTATCCTTGAACCTCCCAACACTGAATTCTTTATTCTCCCACAAAAGGATGCAGCTTCCCAGTATCTACATGATCAAACCCCTTAATTATTTTAAACACTTCAATAAAATCACCCCTTAATTTCTATACTAAATGGAATACAAGCCATAACTGTTCCTGTAATCTCTTCTGGTGAATCTGCCATGCATTTGCCCCATGGCCAATGCTCTGTTGAAAGTTCAATAGTCTTGTGCAGGATTGCTGCTGTACTGTCGGCCCAGCTTGCAGACCCTCCCCTACAGCATCGTGACTGAGATAGGTAACTTTCTGAGTGTCAATATGCCACCTACCACTCAACAGTGCCGTGTGGCAACCTACATTTCAACCAATTATAACAAGCTTTTTATCACAGTGCCTGAACAGTGATACACTAACGTTTATTTCTGCCTCTCCAAAGACACAGACTCCTGCTGAGTCAAGACAGTGAATGTTTAACATAGGTAGCATCACAGCTAAGTCAGATCCTGTCCTCATCCAACACATACACACACTCACTAGCAACAGTAACTGGCTAGCAACCAGAAAAAGGAACTGTAACCACCCGAACCACTCAATTGGATTTCAGTCTGTACTTCACTCCCAGTTAACAGTTATTCTATATATAAACCCCTTCATCAGATTCCAGTCTGTAACCCAATTCCTGGGTGTCTGTTATTTTATATATAAACTGCCTGAACCCCTCAATTAGATTCCAGTCTGTAACTCACTCCTGGGTATCTGTTATTCTATATATAAACCACCCCGAACCCCTTGATTAGATTCCAGCCTGTAACTCACTCCCGGGTATCTATTATTCTATATATAAACCACCCCGAACCTCTTGATTAGATTCCAGTCTGTAACTTACTCCCGGGTATCTGTTATTTGATATATAAACCCCCATCCCAAACCCCTCGATCAATTCCGGTCTGTAACTCAATCCCGGGTGTCTGTTATTCTATATATAAACCACCCTGAACTCCTCGAATAGATTCCAGCCTGTAACTCACTCCCGGGTATTGTCTATGGTCCTGTTTACTGGTGCTCTCAATGCAGGATCTCGATGTCACAGCCCCTTCCTATGAACTCACTGATGGATAGCCTGCAGGAACTTCCTCTGGTGCTTCCTCACTTTGGCATGGTCGATCTTTTTGAGCAGCTTTGTGTGTTTGTAGATCAGCCAGGTTTCCCGCAAAACATTGGCTGCTGCATTTTTTATCTGGTGAGGTAGAAGAACAACAGGTTAGAGAATGGTCAAGCAAGGAATTGAAAGTCATAGCATCCAGACCCCTTCAAATAGGATGGTCCAAATATTACTTAGTCACCACTGGGACCCCTCTCAAAGAATACAGGTCATTGGGTCCTTGTCAAAGAGAGAGATTCACCACAAGTCAGTTTTATCAGAGAATGACTCACAACTGGAACATTCTCCAAACAGGAATCTTACCGTGCGAATTCTTTGCTGGAGAGATTCTCTCCAAGAGGGCCCCTTCATCAAAGAAGTCTAGCCAACGGGAACTTTTCAAAGGGCGGGAGTGTTATTATCAGGAACCCCTTTATAAGAGACTGTCTTACCATCAGAAACCTCTTTATCAGAGGGATCCTTTCCCTTTGAAACACCTTACAAAGGTGTCTCACTGTTAGACTCACTCATCAGAGTGACTCAGCATCACAGACCACTTTATTAGAGGGAGTAATATCCTCAAAGATCCCTTCATCGGAGAAAATCTCAGGATTTGGACCCATTTAAAGGAGGAAGATGCACCAACAGGACCCGTTCATCAGAACGAGTCTCACTACTGGAGACCCCTTTATTAGAGGGGAAAAAGACCATCAGGACCATTTTAGCCGAGGGACCCTCACCAACAGGGTTTCTTTATCAGAGGGACCCTCACCAACAGGGATAACACAGTGTGTGGAGCTGGAGTTGCACAGCAGGCCAGGCAGCATCAGAGGAGCAGGAAAGTTGATGTTTTGGGTCGGGACCCTTCTTCAGAAATAGGGGAGGGGGAAGGGAGCTACGAAATAAATAGAGAGAGGAGAGGGGTGGGTCTGGGGAAGGAAGGTGGGATGGTGACAGGTGAGTGCAGGTAGGTAGTGGGGTTGGTCAGTGAGGTGGGAGAAGCGGATAGGTGGGAGAGAAGATGGACAGAATATGTCAGGTCAAGGAGGCAGGGATGAGAGGGAGGGTTGGTCATGGGATGAGGCTGAGGGTGGGAAGATTTTGAAACCGGTAAAGTCCACATTGAGACCATTGGGTTGTAGACTCCCAAGGTGGAATGTGAGGTGCTGCTCCTCCAGTTTCTGGGTAGCATCGTTATAACACTGGTGGAGGCCCAGGATTGACATGTCATCCAGGGAGTGGGAGGAGGAGTTGAAATGGTTCGTGACTGGAAGGTGTTGTCGTCTGTCCCAAACAGAGCGCAGGTGCTCTACGAAGTGTTCTCCGAGCTTCCGCTCAGTCTCACCAATGTAGAGGAGGCCATAACGGGAGCAGTGGATGCAATAGACCACATTGACGGATGTGCAGGTGAACCTCTGTCTGATGTGAAAGGTTTGTTTGGTACTTTGGATGGCGGTGAGGGGGGGAGGTGTAGGGCAGGTGTAGCACTTCCTGCGGTTGCAGAGAAAGGTGCTGGATGTAGTGGGGCTAGTGGGGAGTGTGGAGCAGACGAGGAAGTCGCAGAGGGAGCGGTCCCTACAGAAGGCAGATAGGGTTGGCGAGGAGCTGTAGGAGTCAGTGGGCCTGAAATAGATATCGGTTTTGAGGCGGTCACCAGAGATGGAGATAGAGAGGTATCAGAGATGTTTCAGGTGAACTTGACGTTGGGGTGAAAAGTGTTAGTAAAGTTGATGAACTGCTCAAGCACCTCGTGGGAGCATGAGGCAACGCCAATAGTCATCGATGTAGTGGAGGAAGAGGTGGGAATAGTGCCAGTGTAGCTGCAGAAGAGGGATTGTTCCACATATCCTGTGAAGAGGCAGGCATAGCTTGGGCCCATGTGAGTTCCCATGGCCACCCCCTTAGTCTGTAGGAAGTGGGAGGAGTTGAAGGAGAAGTTGTTAAGGGTAAGGAAGAGTTCAGTTAAGCTGATGAGGGTGTCGGTGGAGGGGGACTGGTTGGGCCTGTGGGAGAGGAAGAAGCGGAGGGCCATCTGTATGTGGAATGCACAACAGGGATTGGATGTCCATAGAGAAGATGAGGTGATGGGGGCCAGGGAATTGAAAGTCTTGAAGGAGGTAGAGGGCGTGGGTGGTTTCCTGGATGTAGGTGGGGAGTTCCTGGACCAGGAGGGAGAAAACAGAGTCAGGGTAAGTGGAGATGAGTTCAATGGGGCAGGAGCAGGCAGAGACAATGGGTCAGCCGGAGCAGTCGGGTTTGTGGATTTTGGGAAGGAGATAGAAACGGGCGGTGTGGGGTTGGGGAACGATGAGGTTGGAGGCTGTGGGTGGGACGTCACCTGAGGTGATAAGGTTATGGATGGTCTGGGAGATGATGTTTTGGTGGTCAGGGGTGGGGTCATGATCGAGGGGGCAGTAGGAGGAGGTGTCAGAGAATTGGCACCTGGCCTCAGCTATGGAAAGGTCAGTGTGCCATATCACAACTGCACCTCCCTTATCCGCGGGCTCGATGGTGAGGTTAGGGTTGGAGCAGAGGGCTGCACATTCTGTGGGGGAGAGTTTGGAGTGAGTGAGAGGGATGGAGAGGTTGAGGCAATTGATGTCGCGATGGCAGTTGGAAATGAAGAGGTCCAGGGAGGGTAGGAGGCCTTTGGGTGGTGTCCAGGACGATGGGGTGTGTTGGAGGTGGGAGAAGGGGTCTGTAGGGGGCGGGATTCGATTCCTGGTTAAAGAAATAAGCACGGAGGTGAAGCAGCGGAAAAACTGTTCAATGTCCAAGCGTGAGCAGTATTCATTGATGTGTGGGCAGAGGGGGATGAAGGTGAGTTCCTTTACTGAGGACTGACCATTCATCCTCAGTGAGGGGGAGATCTGGGAGGGATGGTGGATACCTGGCAGGGTTTGGGGCTGGGTTGGGTGTAGAGCTGGTAGCTGGGTTGGAGCTGGCTGTGGGGGTGGAGTTAGCGATGTCGTCAGTGACATTGGCAGTGGGTGGGGCCATGTCGGTGGTCCAATAGGGTTTCTTTATCTGAGGGACCCTCACTAACGGGATTTCTTTATCAGAGGGACCCTCACCAACAGGGTTTCTTTATCAGAGGGACCCTCACCAATGGGGTTTCTTTATCTGAAGGACCCTCACCAACAGGGTTTCTTTATCAGAGGGGCCCTCACCAACTGGGTTTCTTTATCAGAGGGGCCCTCACCAACTGGGTTTCTTTATCAGAGGGGCCCTCACCAACTGGGTTTCTTTATCAGAGGGGCCCTCACCAATGGGACTTCTCTATGAGAGGGACTCACACCACCATCCAATAGCCATTACTGGAACTTTTCGATCCATTGTACTCTCTTCGGAGGAAGTCTGAACATCAGAGACCCATTTATCAAATGGAGTCTTGTGGTCAAGATCCCATTACCACAAGCAGTCACTCTATTAGTAGCACTCTAACAAAAAGAGTGCCAGCTTTGGAACCAAATCAAAGAGAATTCTCATCCATGTAACCCTTTCAAAGGGTTAGAAAATAATGTGTTTAATTCCTACCCCATGAGGCCATAATCAAAGCTTGCAGCACAATACTAGGGGAGTGCCACATTGGTGAGTGAGTGCTGAGTGAGTGGGCACTGTCGAAGGGTCAGTGCTGAGGGAGCGAGCACTATTGGAGGGTCAGTGCTGAGGAAGTGCTGCACTGTTAGGAGTTGAGTCTATATTTATCCAGTATTATTAATACAAGTTATTTTATCATCACAGTGCTGTTTGTGGGAGCTTGCAGTGCACAAATTGATTCCTGTATTTCTTTCATTCCTACAGTGGCATCCCATCAAAAGTGAAGTGCTTTGGGGGCATTGGGGTGAGGTTGTGAATAGTACTATATAAATGCAATTTTATCTCAATGTTCTTTGCTTCTTTTGAATAGGGTGGCTGGCAAAGTGAAAACAGAGGCCTAGATGTGGGCCTTAGGCCTGATGTGGCTGAGGAATAGCGTGTGTGTGTCACATGAAAGAATTCCTAAGCTCACTGTGACCATTTGACTTCGATGACGAACCTCAGGAACCCTAAGGAACAGGTGAATGAGCCATTGAGATCCTGTTACCCCTGTTTTACATCCCGCCCCATGTCCTCCCTGTCCCCCCGCAACAATAATAATGATCAGCTGATTTAGACAGGTATGGGAAACTACAGCACTGCTGCAAACATGTCAGTGTGACCTTGTGTCAGACGTCCCCACATTCTGGCAGCTCGCAGACATTCTGTTTTGACAGCAGTCAGGCAGGCTCAAAGGCAGGAGAATGATTACTCCCCTCATCACAAACACAACCCGATATCTGACCAATCCTCCCAGATGTTTCACGTGTCCAACTTGGAGAGGGACCATCACGTAGATACAATGAAGGTTGTGTTGGGTGAGAACATAGACTGTCAGACTGCTCCTGATCACTAAACTGATCCTTAAACACATTGTGGAACGTGTACAGGAAGAGGCAACATGGGACTTAGCCTGTGATGTCCTCTGTGGTCGAACTGCCTGCCAATGCTACTGGCCAGAATCATGCCAGAAGAGCAGTCACTTGAGGTGAAGTCCAAGGGGACATTTGGACTAGCACAGGTCAGCAAATAGTGACTAAGAGCCATATCTTAAATATATAAAGGGGAGGACCTTAAAATCAATATCGAGATGCTGTGTCATTAGATCTGTGCTTTTTAATAATTTTTTCAGGGCATCGATAGCTGGGCCAGCATTTACTGTCATCCCTAATTGCCCTGGAGATACTGCTGGTGAAACGCCACAATCCGTGGGATATAGGTACACAAAGGAGGGAGTTCCAGGACTTTGATCCAGCGACATTGAAGGAACGGTAATGTATTTCCAAGTCAGGATGGTGAGTGGCTCGGTGGGAACTTGCAAGGGGTGGTGTTTCTATAGTATCTGCAGTCCTTGTCCTTTGAGATGGTAGTAGTCACAGGTTTGGAAGGTGCTAAGGAGCCTCCAGTGAACATTTGCACTGCATGTTGTAAATGGTACACACTGATGCTACTGTTGGTGATGGAAGGTGTGGATGCTTGTGCATGTGCAGCCAATTAACTGGGCTGTGTTGCTCTGCACAGCACCAAGCTTCTTGAGTGTTGTTGGAGCTGCACCCATCCAGGCAAGCAGGGAGTATTCCATCACCTTCCTGACTTGTGCCTTGTCGCTGGCAGACAGGTGTTGGGGAGTCAGGAGGTGAGTTACATCTCAGCAATTCACAGCACATATTGACGAATGACAACCATCCACAGAGGTTAATGAAGGCTGCTTACCCGCTTAGTGAGCTGTGTATCCATCATGAAGTTATGGACGTGTTTCTCAGCTTTGGTTAGTTCTAGTTTCCTAGCAACGACAGCTACCACCAGTGCTGTACATCCTGCACCCTTGGGGAGGGGGGAGGGGGGAAGGGATGAGAGAGTGAGACGCAGGCAAAGACAAAGAGAGGAGGAAAAAGAGAGAAAACGTAAAAGAGAAAGGAAGACAGAGAAGGCAAAACAAACAGTGACAAATGGATAGTGATAAACAGACCCAGATCAAAAGTAAGAGACAGAGATACAACAGACAAAAACCGTGTGCAAGAGAGAGAGAGACAGCAGACAAAAAAAATACAGCAGACAGAAATAGAGAGAGGGAGGAAAGGGAGAGACAGTAGATCCAAAGATAGAGAGATAGCAGACAGAAAGACAGAGAGAGAGAGACACACACACAGCAGACAAGAAATGTGAGAGAGCAGATAGAGAGACAGATGGCAGACAGAGAGAGGGTGAGAGAGACCAGTTGGAGAGGCAGAGATGCAGGGAGAGACAGAAGGACGATGACAGAGCAAAAGAGAGAACAAAAAGCATTGAAGGTATAATCATATATACAGGTAGACAATTGAAGGGTGGCACAGGCAGAGAGGGTGTCAAATAGACAGAAATGGAGAAAGTCAGAAACAGTTCAATAGTTAGTGGGAGAGAAAGAAAAACATACCCAGAGATGAAGAAATAGAGAACCACAAGCACAGACGGGCAGAAGGTACCAAGTGGGTGGAGAGGGAGTAGGAAAAAAGAGTCCAAGGGAAAAAAAGCGAAAGACAGATATTGAAATGTAACAGCCACAGATAGAAATAAGGTGAGGAGGGGTCAAGTGATGCACAAAGTGGGATACAGATTGTGATTCAAAGGCAATAAGAAAAGAGTGACAGATAGAGAGAAATAGAGGAAAAAGAACAGAGCATGAGGCATGGAAAAGAGAGGGGACACAGAAAAAGGGAGGAAGAAAGAAACAAAAATTATTTTTGGACAAGAAGTTTCTTCTCAAAACTAAACAAGCTGTTTTCCCGGAGAGTAGACACTGATGTAAAACAGGACAAGCATCAGGGATAAGACAAAGTCTCCACTGCCCCTCTAATAGGTTCCAAATCAGAGTCCAAATTCACATTTACACACACATGCACCCGTCCAGGGTATCTCTGTGATAGTGATTTGACAATCTGTGAAGGAGAGGAAGAGAGCAGCGAAAGAGTGAAAGAGAAAGGTGACCGAGACAGAAACACAGACAGAGGATGGAGAGAGAAACAAAGTAAAAGACATAGAAAGAGGGAGAGAAACAAAAAATGCATGTGAGTAGAAGAAGTTAAATTCCATGGGAGAGGAGAGGGAATGAGAGATTTGTTGGAAAAAGGAGGAACAGAAAGGGAGTGAAAAGGGAGGAAGAAAGTCAGGCTGATGAATGAGGAAAAGAGAGAGACAATTTGAAAGAGCAAGAGGGAATAAACAGAGATTGTGATTGAAGAGAGAAACAGGCAAAGAGAGATGCAGGAAAGTCAGAATATAGAAGGAAGGAAAGAGAGGAAAGAGCATGGAGGAAAGAGACAGACGGAAACCAGAGAACAAGAGTAGAGCAGGGAAAGAAAGCAAGAAAGAAATGAGCAGCAAATGTCTCTGAATTTGTTGCCTGCTGTCTCACCCAGTGATGGGTAACTGATGGGAAGAACCAAAGAAGGGAAGGAACAAAAATAAATTGAAAATATATAGACAGGTTAAGTTCTCCAAGCGGGATTATAAACTGCTTGGTGTGTCCAAACAATCCGTCACTGTAGTCTCACTGCCAGTCCCTGAAGGGGCCACTGTCAGCCAAGCAGTGAGTACGACAGTATTAATCCTTGATAATTCACTGACAGATTGTATGAGATTTTTAATAACAGGTTCTAAATCGTTCAGATAATTCCCTTGTTGACACCCGTCTGCATTAACTCAGATCTTGACACAACTCACAGATTGAACTGAGGCATCACTAGGATCACATGACTGGAAGAATCATTCTATGAATGTGCTGCTTTCTCATGCAGTATAACAGAGTGAAGTGCTGGGATAGTGAGTGGAAACTACCACAGTGAGAGTAAATGTCTGTGTGGAACTGGACCTCGGTGATAATCAGTGAGTGTGGAACAATACCCCGATGATGGTCAGTGAGTGTGGACCCAGTGAGAATCAGTGTGTGTAGGACCCATACTCCAGTGAGAGTCAGTGTGTGTGGAACTGTACCTCAGCGAGGGTCAGTGTGAGTGTGAGACCCTTACCCCAGTGAGAATCAATATGTGGAGAACCTGTACCCCAGTGAGAGTCAGTATGTGTGTGTGTGGGATCCCATACCCCTGCGAGAGTCAGTGCGTGTGTGTGCGACCCCATACCCCAGTGAGAGTCAGTGTGTGTGTGGGACTGTACCCCAGTGAGAGTCAGTGTATGTGTGTTATCCCTTACCCCAGTGAGAGTCAGTGTGTGTGTGTGGCACTCCGTACCCCAGTGTGTGGCACTCCGTACCCCAGTGTGTGGCACTCCGTACCCCAGTGTGTGTCATTATTTTAGCAGAGAGTAAAACTGTGAAAGGTAATCCCTCACCAGAAATTGAAGCCACACTCAGTGACGGTCAGTGTTTGTGAAATTCCTTTCAGGATTACAGAGACTATGAGCCAGATGTCTCTCACACAAGGACCCTCTGGGTTCTGTGAGAATTATAGATGATCCCTTGCTCTGCATCAAACTCATTTTTTAATACATGAAATATTAAACAAAGGATTTATCTGTCCTGCCTGACAATGACGTCAAATGCTTTAATAATTCCTTAAACTTCTTCTCTTCCTTTCCTGAGCACTGTGACTGAGCCTGAGATAAAGGTTCACAGCCAGCATGGAGGGCCATGCATTCAGCTGTCTGTGTCCCTCAGATATGGAAATCTCTCCCTACTCCTCTCAGTCTCTCCCTCCCCCTTTAAGATGCTCTTTAAAGCTGACCTCTTAAAGCAAGCTTACAGCTCCCTGTTTTAATATCTCCTTATGTGGCTTGTTGTCAAATTTTGTTTGATAACATCTCCATGAAGCACCTTAGGATATTCACTGCTAAATGCATCACAGAGATACGAGTTGTTGTTATTTTTTGATTCTTCCAGAACCGTGATTGTTATGGGGTGGGTGTTTGTGAAAATTGGACAGGCTCAACAATCAGCAGACTTAGCACTGACATGAAAAGCTTTAGTAATTTCGACCCTGTCCTGTTTGACAATCCTGTCCGGCCCTGTCTTATTGCCAAACACAAACCCAGTTTATTCACATGTCCAGATCTGTAGATGGCCAGAGGGAAGCTGCAACTGCACCAGCGTCGTTCAGATTTCTTGTGGAAAGTCAGTGAAACCCCCACTAGTATTTCAGCCCCGGCGATCCACTGAGAATCTGGATTTCAGGGTGAGTAAAAGTGCAAAAGAGATCCAATTCAAGTTTTGTTGTGACTTAGGAACAGGAGGAAGTCACTCAACCCTTCAGGCCAACCTAGCCGCTCAACCAGATCATGGACCTTAACTCCCTTTCCCGGCCTTTCAAACATAAACTTTACTCAACAAAAATCTGTCAATCTCAAACCCGAGAATTCCAACTGACCGTCAGCTTGCGCAGCCTTTTGGGGATGAGTTCCAGATTTCCTTTATCCTTTTGGTTAAAATGTGCTTCCTCACTTCAGCCCTGAATGGTCTAATTCTAAATTTAAAAGGTTCCATTCCCTTATTTATGAGTGCTGGCTCCACAACAAATCATTTCACCCTGTCTAGCATGTCCAAACCTCTCAGCATATGAAACAACTTGATTAGATCCCTTCTCAAGGGGATGAGAGCCACTGGATATTATTTTCTTAATGCAATTAGGACTCACAAGCAACTTCAAAGGATTGCTTCCCAGATTATAATAGTGACTGCACTTCAAGAAGTACTTCACTGGCGTGAAGTGCTTTACAGCATCCTGAGGTGTGCTATATAAATGCAGAGACTTTTATTGGAAGTGTGCTGCACCATGTCACGAAGATTAGGCTGCCCTTTCTGAACTAGGGAGGTGGCTGTGATCATTTTCCTCAGTGCCTCCACCAAGCTCAGGGAAGGGAGTTCAACTTAAGGTTGGGACACAGTGGGGAGTCAATGTATGCCCCAAGCTGGAGGACATTAACACGTCCCTGCACATGGACACCATTTCAGGAGAGCATATGTAGCTCAAGGGCAAATATCCTGTTGGCACCGACAGTCTCACACCACAAACAAAAATTGTCACATGACAGGAGAGTCTGTGCCTTCAGGCAGGAAAGGGAGTAGAGGGATTTCAAGAGAATATTTGACGTCATGATGATCAGAAAGCAATATTCCCCAGAGCATTTCCCATTTCCAGCTGTCTTAGTCGAGCTCCAGACACACAGCAAGATGGATTTCTAATAAAATATAATGAACAGTTGCACAGCATAGCCTGTCTTCAACTTTATATAAGGTTGAAAAAATATTACCCTGAAACAAGCTGAAAATTGAGGGGCAACAAATCAGCTTGTTCTCTTGTGACTTCATATAATCTTTTTCAAAAGTAAATTTAAACAATAGCATAGGACTCTAGAATTTTCTCCAACTCATCATCAGAGAAAGATGGGATATTGTTGAGTAATGCAACTCTACTCATTTCAAGCAGAGTGAACCTCTCTCTATACAACCCCAACAAACATCCCAGGACAAGTATAGCACAGTGTTAGATACAGAGTAAAGCTCTTTCTACACTGTTCCACCCCCCATCAAACACACCCAGGACAGGGGAAGCACAGGGTTGGATACAGAGTAAAGCTCCTTCTATCCTGTCTCCATCAAAAACTCCCAGTATGGGTGAGATGCACACTAAGGATCCTTTTAATAAAAAAAACAAAATATTGCAGATGCTGGAAATCTGAAATGAAAATAGAAAATCTCTAAAATCTCAGCAGGTCTGGCACCATATATGGTGAGAGAAAGAGTGTTAACATTTCAAGTCTGATATGATTCTTCTTCAGAACTGATGAAGCAAGGAACCGCACAGAATGCATGCTGCTAGGAGTAAAGGAGGCTACAG